GTTCTTCTCCTCGCTGAGCTGGGCGTAGCGCATGGCCAGGTTGTAGTTGTCGTCCTTCACCTTGACCAGCTCGTCGTTGTAGCTGTCGCGCTCCTCCTTCATCTTGTAGTACCGCTCCTGGAAGGTCAGCAGCTCCACCCGCGTCAGCGTCAGCTGCTTCTTCTCGTCCTCCAGCTGGCGCGACTTGGCCAGCAGCTCGCACCGCTGCAGGTCCTTGGCCTTCATCTGCTGCTGCAGCTTGATGACCTCGTTCATCAGGAAGTGCGTGAGGCCCTCGTGGCCCTCCTCCACTGCGGAGAGGTGGGGGGAGCGGAGGGGGTCCCGTTGGCTCCCGCACGCGCCGACGCGTCAGCGAGCTCCCACTGCCCCCCAGGCCCCGGGCTCTCGGGGCGAGCCGGACGGCCTCGGCCGGGCTTCCGGCGGGAAGCGGACGGACACCGACCCGGCAGACGACCCCGCACTGACAGAACCCCAGACGGAGAGGCTTTCGCAAAGAAGAGGCGCGGGGGCTGTGAACGCGGGCAGCAGGGGGCCAGATCCAGCCCGGTGGGCAGAGGGCTCGGAAGGCTCCCCGATGGTGGAGCTGAAAGGCCGCGGGAGTTAAACACGTTCTAGAAAGGTGGAAAAACACTGCCAAAGCCCCACGGGGAGGACGGGGGCACTTGGCACGTTTAGGAAACCGAAGGCAGACCGAAGTGGCTGGAGTCCGGAGAGAGGGAGAGGCAGAGCGAGGCTGGGAGTGTCAGCGGGGCGGGAGTGCGTGGGCTTGGTGGGCCCCAACGAAGGCCTGGGCCTTTAGTTGGATGCCGTGGAAAACCGTGAAAGGTTGCCGGAGGGGAGGGCAACAGTAGGAGTGGAGAAAGCAGGGAACAGAGCCGGAATGGATGCATCGAGTGGACGGGGCTGGAGGAGCGTGGACTGGGGTAGTGGGGGAGATGGGCGGAAGGCTGTTCCGAGAACATTTAGGGAGGGAAGCTAACGCGATTACCAAGGGCTCTGGCCCAGGGATACTGGCAAGACGGTGCGCAAGGCAAGGACCGGATCCGGGGGGTAGTGCGAACTTCTGTTCCACCCCACCAGCATTCCCCGGGGGATGTTCCGTGAACACCCACTTCTCTTGGCTCCTGCTGTGGTTTCCCTGTCGTCTGTCCTTGATCATCAGGCAGAAATGAGTGGTTGACAGCCCACAAGTGCCACAGGGACACTGTCACAACGTCATAGATTCATAGCTTTAGAAGTGTCCTACCACCGGAGACACACACACACACACACACACACACGCGCGCGCGCGCACGCACTTCCGCCAGAGTTCAAATACTCCTGATGGCAAAGCCTCTTACCCACAATGGTAGAGAATCTCCGGGTGGGCTCCTTTCCAGTCACCAGTTTGTACAGTTCTGGGTAATAGAATTCCAGGCTCTCCAAGAAGACCACGTAGCCCCTCTGGCCCTTTGTGTGTAGAATATCCAACAGCCGGCCTAGGGGGACGGAAGTGGGCCCGGTGAGAAGACAAGTACGGTTCTGACTGGGCGCAGGTCTCCGCAGCCAGTCTTATCCTGGGCTCACATCCCTCAGTGAACTCCAAGAAGACAGCCTCGCCACATCCTGTCACTCTCGGGCTGTATCTGGGAGTCCAGATACCATCAATCAAAGTGCCAGGCCCTCAACGGGGATTCAGTGGCTGTTAGTTTTCCTTTCTCTAAGAAATTGGTGGAACGAGGATAAATGGAATTGCGGTTACGGGAAACCCACGGTTTCAAAGAGCTTGCCAGTTGACCGGGGCTAAAATTAACCATACAGGTACAGGCCCCAGGTCTTCTGTGATTGAAGGAGGTTGGAAGTACAACAGCAATTATAGAAAATGTATGGTTTTCTGAGATTCAGAGCAGGAAGACGGATCTGTGGGCGGAGAGCTGGGAAGTCCCAGGAAGCAGGCACAGCTCCACGATTTGCGGGATTATCTCCTAGTCCGGAAACATCTCTAACCTTAATGTAATTTGCTCAGCGTTTCCGTTTCTCTCCTGATTCCACTCGTCACTTAACATTTCTTGGCCCTTCCTCAAACGTTTTATTTTCAGATAGTTCTTCCTGGGAGGTCCCCAAACTCCCTACCTTTCCCCCAGGATAGACGTGATAAATAAGTTTCATGTCGTGTTAACTGATTGTTTGGTGAAGCTGCCTGGAGCATGTGTTGAGAGGGATTCTGAAGTGACACGGGAGCCCAGTAGGAAAGCAAGCTGTGGTTAGTGACGTCTGTCATGTATGCAAAAGAGAGTCACAGCGTTTGAGCTACTTATCACCAGGCGTACTGTGGGGAAGTGATTTTCAAACCTTTTCAACTGTGAGCCACAGAAAGAAATGTATGTTACATCATGGCCTTGTGCATACAGGTGTTTATGCACATGAGTGTGTGTGTGTGTGTGTGTGTGTGTGTGTGTGTATATGTATATATATATGTATGTATATATATATATATACATACATATATATATGAAACCAAAACAACTTTACAAACCTTACCCATACCTTTGAAGAATGTGATAAAATGTCATGGACCCCTGGACAGTCTGGAAAAGTCTCAGGATGGTTTTTTTTTTTTTTTTCAATGTTTGTTTATTTTTGGGACAGAGAGAAACAGAGCATGAACGGGGGAGGGGCAGAGAGAGAGGGAGACACAGAATCCGAAGCACGCTCCAGGCTCCGAGCCATCAGCCCAGAGCCTGACGCGGGGCTCGAATTCACGGACCGCGAGATCGTGACCTGGCTGAAGTCGGATGCTTAACCGACTGCGCCACCCAGGCGCCCCAGGATGGTATTTTTAAACAGATATAAAGGAACTGGATGATAAAGGGAATCCATTCTAACAAGATGCTGTTATCAAATATTAAATTTGCGATTCAGTAATAAAAGTGCTCCTTTGCCAATGCATTAACACCATCTCTTGGCTGGTGTGAGAACCACTATAACTTTGAGGGTGAGATGAGTGTAAATGGTGTTTTGGAAGAGCTGTAACAGCTGCAGTGAGGTATGAAGATGTCTGTAATTCTTATTGTTGCCATACAGCGTCACAGGCACTGCTAATCACTACCGTGATTTACTGCCTACCTACATTCATAATTGATGGAGACGCTAAATCTCACTTTAGGCTAGTAATATAAAGATGCAACCCCCCCCCCATCCAAGTTCACGGACCCTCTCAATTCTGCATAGAGTTTGGTTGGGGGGACGGGGTGGGCAGAAGTCTGTTGACGCCTGTTTAAAAATCCCTGACCTGGAGACATTTGGCTTTGGTACAGCCCACTAGAGCGCATTTCCTGAAGCTGTCACAAGAGGTCACCCCCCTCTCCCCCGGGGGGTTCCTAAGGTCACCTGCCCGGTTGATCTTGGACGGCAGCATGGGTGCACTGAGCACTTCGTCCTCATCCTGCTCATCGATGACCTTGCACTGGCGCAGGTAGGGGGTGAGCTTGGCTGGGTTGATGTAGCGACTCAACATGTGCCGGTTGCACTCCACGTTCTCCCACAAGGCGTCCTCCTCATCCTTCAGTGTCTCCATATAGTCGTCCGTCTCTGGCCCTCCTCCTTTTTTGGACGTAAGCCCCGACAAGGTTAATAAAGGAGCCTCCCTGGAATAGCTCCATGAACTCTTTTAGCGTGAGCTCTAGAATATGTTGTTGAGTTAAAAAAAAGTAGACCCAAGTACATATGGCATTTTACCTCTTATTTCGGAATGGAAAGGACACGAACGCAGATATATTTTTCTTACGTGCTACACATAAACAATGGACAAAGAAGCCATAAAATTTTTAAAAAATTATTTATGGAGAGAGGGTGGAAGTTTTGCAGTTGGAGTATATCCTTTCCATCCAAGTTTTTATATCTTACTAAGAATTTATCTTCCCCCAAACAATATATAGTATTGTTTTTTGTTTTACAATTTCACGTAAAAGACATCATATTGTATGCTTCCTTGTTTCCTTCTTGAACTTGCTTTTTTCTTTCTACATCTTTTGAGATTTATCTACCTTGATACATACAGGTCTAATTCTTTTTTTTTTAAAGAAACAGTTTTATTGAGATATAATTCATGTGCCATACGATTCACCTTTTAAAATCCAGTGGGTACAATCCAGTAGTTTTTAGTATATTCACAGAGTTGTGCAACCATTACAATTAATTTTAGAACATTTTCATCATCAACCCCAAGAGAAACGCCATCACCCCATTGGCTGTCTCCTCCCCTTCTCCCTCCAGCACCTGCCCCCCACTGGGAGGCACCCACTAATCTACTTTCTGTCTCTACAGATTTATCTATTCTGGATGTTTCATAGGAGTGGAATCACACGACAGATGGTCTTCTGTGACTGGCTCCTTTCACTGAGCAGAACGTTTTTTAAAAAAATTAAAAAAAAAATTTCATGTTTATTTTTGAGAGAGAGAGAGCCAGACAGAGCGAGAGAGAGACGTAGTGTCAGCAGGGGAGGGGCAGAGGGAGAGGGAGACACAGAATCTGAAGCAGCTCCAGGCTCTGAGCTGTCAGCACGGAGCCCCACGCGGGACTCGAACCCACGAACCGTGAGACCAACCGTGAGACCACGAACTGAGCTGAAGTCGGACGCTTAACCGACTGACCCTCCCAGGCACCTCGAGTAGAACATTTCGACGGCTCATCCATGCTGTAGCATATTTCAACACTTCATCTCTTCCTACTGATGATTAATTTTTCACTGTATGGCCACATCACATCGTTTATCCATCCACTGGTGAACGTTTGGGTGGCTTCTATTTATTGGCTATTATAAATTAGGTTGTTATGAAGAGACATGTATGGGTTTTTGTGTAGACCTATGTTTTTATATGCCGTGGGCAGATACGGAGATGGGGGAAAAGCTGAGCCACACGGAAAGCCCACGGTTTACATTCTGAGGAATGGCAGAGTGCCTGCACCAATTTACATTCCTGCTAGCAACGTCCGAGGGCTCTGTTACCCACATCCTTGCCAACACTTGTGGTTGTCTGTCTTTTCGCTCTGGCCATCTGCGTGGGTGGGAAGTGGTAGGTCAGGGTGGTTTTCATCCGCATTTCTCTAACGACTAATGACATTGAGCATCCTTTCATGTGCATATTGACCATCTGTGTTCAAACCCTTTGTCCATTTTTAAATTGGGTTGTTTGTCCTTATTATTAAGTGGTAGGAATTCTTTATGTGATCTGCATTAAGTCCCTCCTCAGATACGTGATTTGTAAGCATTTCCTCCCATTCTGTTGGTTATATTTTCACTTTCTTAAAGGGTTTATTTGCAGCATAAAAGCTTTTAGTTTTTTTTTTTTTGATTTTTAAACGTTTTTATTTATTTTTGAGAGACAGGGAGACAGAGTGTGAGCAGGGAAGGGGCAGAGAGAGAGAGAGAGAGAAAGACACAGAATCTGAAGAGGCTCCAGGCTCTGAGTTGTCAGCACAGAGCCCGACACGGGGCTCGAACTCACAAGCCATGAGATCATGACCTGAGCTGAAGTCAGACGCTTAACCGACTGAACCACTCAGGCGCCCCCAAAAGATTTTAGTTTTGATGTAGTCCAGTTTATTTGGTGTATATCTAAAAGACCATTGCCTAACTCAAGGCTATGAAGAATTGCTTCTATTTTTTTCTAAGAGTCTTATCCTTTTAGCCCTTACATTTATGCCCATGATGCATTTTGAATTAATATTTGTCTATGGTGTGAGGTAAAGGTTCAGATGTTTCTTTTTTTTTTTTTTTTAAGTTTATTCATTTATTTTGAGAGAGAGAGAGAAAGTGTGAGTCAGGGAGGGGCAGAGAGAGAGGGACTCAGAGAATCCCAAACAGGCTCTGAGCTGTCAGCATGGAGCCTGATGCAGGGCTCACACTCATGAACCGTGAGATCATGACCGGAGCTGAACTTGGACACTTAACTGACTGAGCTGCCTAGGCACCCCTCAACTGTGTTCTTTTCAGGTGGATACTTAGTTGTCCCAACATAATTTATTGAAAAGATTATTCTTTCCCCATTGAATGGCCTTGGCACCTTTGTCAAAAATCAACTTGTGTTTATTTCTGGGCTCTCACATCTATTGCATCGGCCTATATGTCTATTTATGCTGGCATCACACTGTCTTTGTTACCGTAGATGTGTAGTGAGTTTTGAAAAGTATGAGTCCTCTGACCTCGTTCCTTCTTTTTAACATTGTTTTGGTTAGTCACGGCCCCTTGCAATTCCATATGAATTTAAGGATCAATCTGCGAGAAAAAGTACTGGGGTTTTTGCTGCTGAACCCACTGAATATGTAGATACACTTGGAGAGTATTATTATCTAGCTGTATTGTCTTATGATCTATGAAGACGTGGTGTTTTTTCATTTATTTAGATCTTTCATTTCTTCCAGCAATGTTTTGTAGTTTTCAGGGTACAAGTCTTGAACTTCTTTTGCTAAATGTGTTCTGAAGTATTTTATTCTTTTTGATGACACCGTAGACGTGAACTATTTTCTTCATTTCATTTGTGGGATGTTCACTGCTAGCGTATAAACACACAATTGATTTTTCTCTATTGATCTCTTATCCTGCAATGTGACCAAAATGATTTCTTAGTGCTAATAGTTTGCTAGTGGAATCCCTACGATTTTTCTCTATACGAGATAATGTCATCTACAGTTGGAGATAGTTTTACTTCCTTCTTTTCAATCTGGATGCCTTTTAATTCTTTTTCTTGTGTAATTGCCCTGGCTAGCACCTCCAGCACAATGCTAAATAGGAGTGGCAAGAATAGATAAACTTGTCTTGTTCTTAATCTTAGGGGAAAAGCATCAATTCTTTTGTCATTAAGTATAATGCTGTTTGGTTGGGGGGGGGGTGTAAGTGTGGAGGGAGTTTAGATACCCTTTATCAGGTTGGGAGATATCCCTTACATTCCTGGTTGTTGAGCGCTTTTGTCATGAAAGGGCATTTGATGTTAGTGCTTTTTCTGCATCCATTAGGATTGCCATGTGGCTTTTGGTTTTGATTCTGTTAATACGGTGTATTACATTAATTGATTTTCAGGCACTAGAAAAACCTTGCATTCTTGATATAAAGCCCACTTAGTCATGGTGTGTAATTATTTTTATATGCTGTTGGATTCAATTTGGTAGCATATTTTTGAGGATTTTTGCATCTTTGTTCATGAGAGATATTAATCAGTAATTTTTTTTTTTTTTACTTGTGATGGTTTTGATATTGGGGTAATACTGGCCTCATAGAATACTTGGGAAATGTTCCCTGTTTTTCTATTCTTTGGAAGAGTGTGTGTGAAGAGTTTTCTCCTTTGTTTGGTAGAATTCACCAGGGAGGACATCTGGGCCCAGGCTCTTCTTTGCAGGCAGGTTTTTGATTACTAATTCTTTACTTGTTACAGGTCTGCTCAGATTTCCTGTGTTCCTTGAGTCAGTTTCAGTAGTTCATGTCTTTGTAGGTATTTGTCCATTTCATCTGTTGTCTAATTTATTGGAAACAGTTGCCCATATTACTCCTTTATAGCGTTTTAATTTATGTAAGGTTGGTAGTAATATTCTCTCTTTTATCTCTGATTCTGCTAATCAGAATCATGTTCTCCTGGAGCTACGTGCCCTTGAAACTCTAATGAGGGATGTTTCGCCTTAATTAGGGGGAACAAAGTATTTTAACTTCTCACTGTCCCTGCCATCATATTTTGAAACCAGGGCTTCTCTCTTCTCAGTTCCTGGCCTGTCATTCTTATGAGAGACAGAGAGAGAGAGAGAGAGAGAGAGAGAGAGAGAGAGAGAGAGAGAGAGGAAAGGGGGGAGGGAGAGGAAGGATACAAGGGGAGGGGGAGGGAAAAGGGGAGGGGGAGGGGGAGAGGAGAAGGGGGAGACCTCTTTCTTTTTCCCTTGGTCGGTCTAGCTAAAGTTTGTCAATTTTGTTATTTCAAAGAACATCTTTTTACCTGAAACTAGTGTAACATTGTGTGTCAAATATTCTCAAGTAAAAAAAACAATAAAAACCAAGAAGAACCAACTTTTGGTTTCACTGCCTTCTCTCTATTGCCCTCCTCTAAGTCACTTATTTCTGTACTAATCTTTATTATTTCCTTCCTCCTGCTTACTTTGGGTTTAGTTTGCTCTTCTTTTTCTAGTTTCATAAGGTGAAAAGCTAGGCTACTGACATCTTTTTAAATAAAAACACTGGGGCTACGAATTTCCCTTCAAGCACCACTTCAGCTGCATCCCTTACGCTTTGGGATGGTGTGTTTTTATTTTCATTCACCTCAAAGTTGTCTAATTTCTTTTCTGATTCCATCTTTGACCCACTAGTTATTTAGGAATGTGATGTTTACGTCCCCCCGTGTTTGTGAATTCCCCAAATCTCTCTGTTATTTATTTCCAATTTAATGCTGTTGCGGTTGGAAAACATCCTCTGTATCATGTCAATCCTTTTAAGCTCGTTGACACTTGTCGTGTGGACCAGTGTGTGATCTACCCGGGACCGTGTTCCAGGTGCGTGCTTAAGAAGCAGGTGTCCTGCCGCCGTTGGGTGGAGTGCACTATGGATGTCAGTTACGTCTAGTCTGTGCACATGGTTGTTCGAGTCCTTTGTTTCCTTGTTGGTCTTCTAGCCAGTGGTTCCATCCGTTATTAAAAGTAGGGCATGAAAGCCTGCGACCATTCAGTTAATTGTTCAGTTTGACTGTTTTATGTATTATTCCATTGCAAAAATCTGCTAATTTTTTTACCCATTTCTCTTCTGATAAATGTTTAATTTTCCCCAATGTTTTACGTGGACGCTTGGCACTGTTCGTAGGAGGAAACAATGGAAGCATCTGAGACACTTACCGGTAGGTACTCCACAATCCTTTTGTACTATTGAGTAACATCTTAAAAAAAAATTTTTTTTAACGTTTGTTTATTTTTGGGAGAGAGAGAGAGAGCGAGCACAAGAGGGGGAGGGGCAGAGAGAGAGGGAGACACAGAATCCGAAGCAGGCTCCAGGCTCCGAGCTGTCAGCACGGACCCGACGCGGGGCTCAAACCCACGAACTGAGACATGACCTGAGCCAAAATCGGATGCTTACCCGACTGAGCCACCCAGGCGCCCCCCAATGGAATAACATCTTAAAGGGATGTGGTGACATAAAAACATTCTAAGACATACTGGGTTTTAAAAAGGCAAGTTTCAGGGGCACCTGGGCGGCTCAGTCAGTTAAGCGTCCGACTCTTGGTTTTGGCTCAGGTCATGATCTCGTGGTTCGTGGGTTCGAGCCCCACGTCGGGCTCCTTGCTGATGGTGTGGAGCCTGCGTGGGATTCTCTCTCTCTTCCTCTTTCTGTCCCTCCCCCAACCCCTCTCAAAATAAAGAAATAAAACTTAAAAAAAAAAACCAACAAGGCAGGTTTCAGAATACATACATGTGGTATAAATAATAATAATAATAATAATAATAAATTGGTCTTCGTCCTGGCTCCTGTCGCAGGCTCCCAGGACTTGTGGAACCCTCTGAGTGATGAGTGTCCTCTGATGGTAATGAGGTGACTCCTGGCTAAGGGGCCCCGAGATACCTTCCAGTGGCGGCTGGAGGCCAGGAAAACCATGTGCTTAGAGGGCTGTGACTTTCAGCCCCACATCCCTACCTCCAGGGAGGGGGGAGAGGCTGGAAAATCAGTTCAGCCATCAGGAGTGAATGATTTAATCAATCATGGCTATGTTAATGAAACCCTGTTAAAAATCCTTCACCGGTGGGGTTCAAGAAGCTTCTGAGTGGGCGAATAAATGTGCCATCTGGGGGCGTGGCACACCTCAACCCCGTGGGGCAGAGGCTCCCACACTCGGGCCCCTTCTGGACTCCACCCTCTCTCGCCTTCTCGTGCTGCTGTTTGCACCCCTTAAACTGTAATAGGAAGTATAACGTCCTTCTGGGGTGTGTGAGTCATTTCAGCAAAGTGCTGAACCCGACGAGGGGCCACGGGAACCCCGGATTTGTGTAGAGCCACGTAGGTAAGGCTCCACCAAGCAAGACCGTGATCCTACGGGTGTGCGCGCGTGCACGCAGAGGGAGGGAAGGGAGGGAGGAAGGG